ACTTGAACTCAGTGAAGGTTGCAGTGAGCTGAGATCGCGCCATTGCACTCCAGCCTGGGCAACAAGAGCAGAACTGTCTAAAAAAAAAAAAAAAGTTATGACAGAAATCCAGAACAATTCCTCTGTGGGTAGAGCACAGAACTCTTTTTCTCTTTTTCATTATAGTCCTCTTTTTGTATATGTCACTTTCCTTTTTTTTTTTTTTTTTTTTTTTTTTTTTTGGAGACAAGGTCTCCATCTGTTGCCCAGGCTGGAGTACAGTGGCGTGATCTCAGCTAACTGCACTCTCCGCCTCCTGGGCTCAAGCAATCCTCCTGCCTCAGCCTCCCAAGTAGCTGGTATTACAGGTGTGCACCTCCACATCTGGCTAATTTTTATATTTTTAGTAGTGACAGGGTTTTATCATGTTGGCCAGGCTGGTCTCAAATTCCTGACCTCAGGTGATCGGCCCCACCTTGGCCTCCCAAAGTGTTGGGATCACAGGATTGAGCCACTGTGCCCAGCCACAGTTCACTTTTAATCTCTGAACCTTAGTAATTGGGAATAAATCCTGTTCAACATAGCTTCTCAGAAGTGGGAAGGAAGAAAAATAGGGAGATAGATGTGAATGTTCTTTATCAATTGTAAAGTGCTTAAAAGGAAGGTCTCACCAGCATTCATTACTTCTGTTGCTGATGCATCAGTGAAGTGGTGTGCGGTTCCAGTGAAAATAGGTTGGCAGTCCTCACATTACCACACTATCTGACAGCAGGAAGCTCCCTCCTGCAGACCCACCTCATTGAGTGAACATCATTCTTCACATCCACAGCAGAGAGAAAGAAGAAAGCATGCACTGGAATGCTGGGCAAGCTTTTAGGAGAGGTGTTAGACACTTCCAGTGGTTTGGTATGGAGACAGTGTAATAGAGCTTGATGACTGGAATGCATTCTCAGTCTTCCTTGCAAGAAATGAGAGATGTGGATTCCTGTTTCTACCATTTGTGTGAGGTAGTTATTTTAAATTCTCTAAGCCTCGATTTCCATTTTAAAAAATAGATCTCATGCCAGGCACAGTGGCTTACAGCTATAATCCGAGCACTTTTGGAGGCAGAGGTGGGTGGATCACCTGAGATTTGGAGTTCAAGACCAGCCTGGCCAACATGGTGAAATCCTGTCTCTACCAAAAATACCAAAATTAGCCGGGCATGGTGACATGCACCTGTAGTCCCAGCTACTCGGGAGGCTGAGGCAGGAGAATCACTTGAACGTGGGAAGCGGAGGTTGCAGTGACCCAGGATCATGACACTGCACCCAGCCTGGGTGATAGAGCAAGACTCCATCTCAAAATAAATAAATAAAATCAAAAATAGAAAATAGAAAAAAAAATAAAAATTATAGACAATGGTGAAAAAAAAAAAGAAAATGGATCTCAGGCATTTCGCACTCTCCAATGTGATTTCCAGTCTAAAAACATAGGTTCACCAGGCATGGTGGCTCACACCTGTAATCCCAGCATTTTGCAAAGCCGATGCAGGCGGATCACCTGAGGCTAGGAGTTTGAGACCAGCCTGGCCACCATGGTGAAATGCCGTCTCTACTAAAAGTACAAAAATTAGCCATACGTGGTGGCCATGCCTGTAATCCCAGCTATTTGGGAGGCTGAGGCAGGAGAATTGCTTGAACCCAGGAGGTGGAGGTTGCAGTGAACTGACATGGTACCACTGCACTTCAGCCTGTGTGACAGAGCAAGACTCCATCTCTAAATAAATAATAAATAAATGCACAGGTCCCACAATGAAAACAGGTTGCTATTTTGCCCACAAACCTCTTCCAATTTTTCTTGTTGATGTGCCACTCCAACATGGCACCTTGAAACAGAGCTAGCCAGAAAACACCGGGGACATCAGAGCATTCTGCAGCTCTGAGCAGAAATGTACATGGAGATGCACATGGACATATGGCGGGGCCAACCCGGTTTTGTTTTTCTTTCCTGAAGGAGAGCAGAATGACTGAATATCTCTAAACTTCTCTTTGGCAGACAGTCAATGGGGAATTTTCCAATAATGTGGAAACTCACAAAGACTCCATATGTTTGAAATAAGACATTTGAGCAGTGAGGAGAGATGCAGACCTTAAATTCCATTTGTTGTCAATAAATTTTGGTTATGGTTTCAAGTAGCTAAAAGATTCCTTTCACCAACTTGGCTTTTCACCTGTATTAGCACATCCTCTCAACAGCTCTGTCTGCTCAGTAGGTATTACTATCCTCATTCTATAGATGAGGAAGTAGGGTTCAGAGTGGGTAACTTGCCAACTGTCAGAGTTAGATGGTTAGTATTGGACCCTGGATTTTTTATTTTTGAGACGGAGTCTTGCTGTGTTCCCCAGGCTGGAGTGCACGATCTCGGCTCACTGCAACCTCCACCTCCCAGATTCAAATTAATTCCCCTGCCTTAGCCTCCCAAGTAGCTGGGATTACAGGTGCACACCACCATGTCCAGCTAATTTTTGTATTTTTAGTAGAGACAGGTTTTCCTTTTTTTTTTTTTTTTTTTTTTTTTGAGACGGAGTCTCGCTCTGTCACCAGGCACCAGGCTGGAGCGCAGTGGGGATCTCAGCTCACTGCAACCTCCGCCTCCCAGGTTCAAGGACTGTAGGTGCACGCCACCACGTCCAGCTAATTTTTTTTGTATTTTTAGTAGAGACGGGGTTTCACCATGTTGGCCAGAATGGTCTTGATCTCTTGACCTCGTGATCCGCCTGCCTTGGCCTCCCAAAGTGCTGGGATTACAGACTTGAGCCACCGCGCCCCGCCAGAGACAGGTTTTCACTATGTTGGCCAGGCTGGTCTCACTTCTGACCTCAAGTGATCCACTTGCCTCAGCCTCCTAAAGTGCTGGTATTACAAGCATGAGCCACCGCACCTGGCCTGCAGCCTGCATTTTTAACCCAAGTATGTTTGACCTCTTCCACTAAGCTACCATAGCGCTATACTCCAGGAGCTCTTGTTTCTAATCAGAGACTGGAGTTCTTTGAAACGTAGACATAAGAGAGCCACCTCTCCATTTTCAGCAAAGACATAGAGAACCTATGGTTATGAACTAAATCAAAGATAATGTGGATGAACACGTCTAGAGACACAGTTCATTTATAGTCAGGAATAGCTTTACCCTTGACAGAGAACTCTGTGCCAGCTGCTGGGTGCTGAGCACTTTTATTTACATTATCTCATGTATTCCCCACCACAACTATGTGATAGAAATCTTTGAGAGTCAGCCGGGCGCGGTGGCTCAAGCCTGTAATCCCAGCACTTTGGGAGGCCGAGGCGGGTGGATCACAAGGTCAAGAGATCGAGACCATCCTGGTCAACACGGTGAAACCCCGTCTCTACTAAAAATACAAAAAATTAGCTGGGCATGGTGACGCGTGCCTGTAATCCCAGCTACTCAGGAGGCTGAGGCAGGAGAATTGCCTGAACCCGGGAGGCGGAGGTTGCGGTGAGCCGAGATCGCGCCATTGCACTCCAGCCTGGGTAACAAGAGCGAAATTCCGTCTCAAAAAAAAAAAAAAAAAAAGAAATCTTTGAGAGTCTCGCTCTGTCACCCAGGTTCGAGTGCAGTGGCGCGACCTTGGCTTACTGCAACCTTCATTCCCGGGTTCAAGTGATTCTCCTGCCTCAGCCTCCCAAGTCTCTGGGATTACAGGCACCTGCCATAATTACAAATGGCAATTATGGAATGTAAACCACCAAATCTTGAGCAGGCCTGAAGACTGCGCAAGCAGATTGCATGCTCAGCTCTCCCCTTCTGAAACCGTTAACAATCGTTGTAACTGAAAGCGTTAACTGTTATACCCCCGCCCCCTCCTCCCCTTTAGACTGAGTTTCGCTCTTATGCTTTTATGAGCGAAAGTGGCGGATTTCGGCTGACAGCAACCTCCACCCCCCAGAGTTCAAGCGATTCTACCGCTTCAGCGTCCAGAATAGCTGGGATTACCGGCACCCGCCATCAGGCCAAGCTCCTTTTTGGATTTTTAGTAGAGACGGGTTTCACCATGTTAGCAGGCTGGTCTCGAACTCCTGACCCCAGGGAATGCACCTGCCTTGGCCTCCCAAAGTGCTAGGATTACAGGCGTCAGCCACCATGCCCGGCCCACTTTTTTTTTTTTTTTTTTTTTGAGACGGAGTTTTGCGCTGTTGCCCAGGCTGGAGTGTGGTGGCGCCCGGCCCCGTTAGTCCCTTATAGAGTAGATCAGCTACCGCAGGAATTTGGGTTCCCCAAACCGACGCCCGAACCAGGCATTGCACAAGTCGTTTCCAAGCAGCCCCGGCTTATTTATCCCGTCGGGGAGGGAGGGATACAGGGAAGGCCCAGCCCGCGTGATTCCCGAGAAATGCACAGCCTGGCGGACACTCCGGGTCTTGTGTGTGGGGCGGGGGGTTGGTCCTCCACCGCCAGCCCAGGAAGGCAGCACCGGGCACTGGGGCGTAGCAGGGAGGAGGGAGCGGTTGGCCCGCACGCTCTTCCGGGTCCTAGGAGTAGGGAGCCCGGACCTAAGCCCCGCCCCTCCGGGGCGGAGTCACGGCTCGCAACTGGCCTAAGTCGCCGCAGGTAATGCGGTCCGGGGCTGGCACGTGGGGGTCGGGGGTCCCCGGATCCAGGGTCTATCACAATCTCTGGCAGGGGGTCCGAATCCTATAGGGGAGTAGGCCCAAGCCGGGTGGAAAGAATTAGGAAGGGCCTTCTCTAGCTCCGTCCCATCCGCTTTGACCGAAAGAAACCAGCCTGTTCTCTCCCGACCCCGTCTCCTATCCCCTAGAACTGCCACGTGGGATGAGATTGGGGGGCGGGCAGCGGCAGCGGCTGCGGCTGCGGGAGGTCCCGCCCACATGAAGCCAACCTCACTGACCTCTGGACTTTGGGGACAGCGGTCAGTGGCCTAGGCCGCAGGCGGGATTTATCCATTCATCTCTCGATCTATTTTCTTTCTTCATTCACTCTTCACTCCCCGACTTCTACTCTATGCCAGGTCCATTGGTAGGCTCTCAGAATGAATCTGACAGGCCCAGCTCCCTAGGAACTTAGTCTAGTGGAATTTAGTCTAGAATGTAGTCTAGGGGCATTAAATAAATAAAGGCATTCCAAGTGATTCCTGCAGTGGTGGTGGCTTAATACCTTCAGAGCCCAGTGGGTGGGAGAAGGAAGTAACTTGGAAGAGGGTGGAAGAGAAAAGTGACAAATCAGTTAAGGTTTCACTAAGGAAGGGACTTTTGAACTGGGCTTTCAAGGTTGACTAGGAGTTTGCAAATTTCCCAGAAGGGAAGCGACACTCCAGATAGGGGAAGCAGCACAGACTGCAAGACTATGAAAAGGCCTGACATATTACACGAACAGCAAAAAGCCCAACAATGCAAGAGATTGTGGAGGTGAGTTCCCAGAAAAAAAGGCTGACACCAGAAGGCTTTACTTTCTATGCTATGCTGAGGCCCAGATTTATCCTAGAGTTCAGTATTTCTGTCTCTTTATTATTTATTTTATTTTATTTTTTTGAGACACAGTCTTGCTCTGTCGCCCAGGCTGGAGTGCAGTGGTATAATCACGGCTCACTGCAACTTCTCTCTCCCGGGTTCAAGCAATTCTACCTCAGCCTCCCAAGTAGCTGGGATTACAGGCATATGCCACCATACCCAGCTAATTGTGGTACTTTTAGTAGGGATGGGGTTTCGCCATGTTGGCCAGGCTGGTCTCAAACTCCTGATCTCAGGTGATCCACCCACCTTGGCCTCCCAAAGTTCTGGGATTACAGGTGTGAGCTACTGTGCCTGGACTTTTTTTTTTTTTTTTTTTTTAGACGAGTCTTGCTCTGTTGCTCAGGCTGGAGTTTGGTGACAAGATCTCAGTTCACTGCAGTCTCTGCCTCCCGGTTCAAGCGATTCTCCTGCCTTAGGCTCCTGAGTAGCTGGAATTACAGGTGCACAGCACCACGGTGAGCTAATTTTTGTATTTTTAGTAGAGACGGGGTTTCACCATGTTGGTCAGGCTTGTCTCAAACTCCTGACCTCAGGTGATCCACCCACATCAGCCTCCCAAATTGTTGGGATTGCAGGTGTGAGCCACTGTTCCTGGCCCCATTTCTATTTTTAATTAAAAATAAATAAATAGGCTGGGACTGGTGGCTCACACCTGTAATCCTAGCACTTTAGGAGGCTGAGGCAGGAGAATTGCTTGAACCCAGGAGGCAGAGGCTACAGTGAGCCGAGATCATACTACTGCACTCCAGCCTAGGCAACAGAGTGAGACTTCGTCTCAGAAAAAATAAAATAAAAAATAAAGCTGGGCGCAGTGGCTCATGCCTGTAATCCCAGCACTTTGGGAGGCTAAGGTAGGCAGGTCACCTGAGGTCAGGAGTTCGAGACGACTAGCCTATCCCTACTAAAAATACAAAAAATAAGGCTGGGTGCAGTGGCTTATGCCTGTAATCCCAGCACTTTGAGAGGCCCAGGCAGGCAGATCATGAAGTCAAGAGATTGAGACCATCCTGGCCAACATGGTGAAACCCCATCTCTACTAAAATCACAAAAATCAGCTGAGTGTGATGGTATGTGCCTGTAATCCCAGCTACTCAGGAGGCTGAGGCAGGAGAATCGCTTGAACCTGGGAGGTGGAGATTGCAGTGAGCTGAGATTGTCCTATTATACTCCAGCCTGGGCAACAAGGGTGAAACTCCAACTCAAGTGAAACTCCGACTCAAATAAATACCTACATACATAATAAATAAAAATGAAAGGTTGGTGGTGCTTATTTAAATTAATCAGGCCCTAGGAATTAGTACATTCAATAGGAAAGGTTTTAAAGAGGAGGTTGAACTGATTTGTCCTGTGTTTTAGGAAGAAGATAACCATAAATGTCTAAAAAGTACCTTTCTTTCTTATGCATAGGACACCATGAAGCAGCTGCCAATCTTGGAACCTGGAGACAAGCCCAGGAAAGCATCATGGTCTGTAAGGAAGGATCTAAACACAGAAAAGCATGAGCTTTTGTTTCATTTATGAGTAGTTTACTAACATATTTGATCATCAACTAAAAAGGGTAGAGATGAAACTGTCTGCAATTTCTGATAATTAGACTCAAACTGTCTGGGAAGGCCTTCAGAGGAAAGATAGGGGGGCAATAATTATTGCAACAGAGCAGATGTTGATTTTATTAAAATCCATTTACCAGAAAGAGTAAGGCACTGACCATCTGGCAGCCTCTGTGTCTTCCCCGAGCTCTCATTTTTTTTTTATTTTTTATTTTTTTATTTTTTTTTATTTTTAAAACCAGAACATTTATTGCGTGACTAATCGGTGAAATCCTTAAGATGAACTGGATGCCGCAACAGCTGCCCTCTTGGGTTTAGGTGTTGTTCCTTCACGGAATCCATGCCTGAATCTGCGGTATACAATTTTTAGGTGCCTCATTCGACCAGTCCCGGTGGTATTTCGTCTTTTAGCCTTGGCACTCCAGTTATACTTTCTCTTGCGCTTGGCTGGGTAGCCACATTTGCCGCAGGTAGACTTCTGAAGGTGGTAGGCCTTATAGCCATAGCGGCGGCACAACGTGTGCGTCTTATTATGACGCTTCCCAAACGATGACGTTCCCTTCGTCATATTGCTTCTGCGACCGGGACCAGCGCTCTCACTCATTTTTAAGATTTTTAGGAAATTAGATTTGGATTAAACTGGCTTCGCTGTTTCTTGGCTGTTTTGTTCAACCAACCTTTTGTTCAACGACTAACATTGGCCGGATGGGGGCAGCTGCTGTGTGGCTGCTGGAGGCAGAATTGTAATAGTCTCTGTGTACTGGGGACTACAGACTAAGCAGGTGATGGTGATGAAATGTGATCTGTTCCGAGGCGGGGTCCACAGAAGGCTGTAGAGAGGTTTCAGTTTTTCAAACGGACCTTGAAGGAGAGACTCCAATCTGGCTTCCCTGCATCTGTCTTGCTCTGTATCCAGAATACAGCCAATCATGGCATTTCCTAGTTTAAAATCCTTTTGTGCCTCCCTGTTGGTGTTGGGATAAAAATCAGATTCCTGAGCCGGGTGCAGTGGCTCATGCCTGTAATTCCAGCACTTTGGAAGGTCAAGGTGGGTGGATCTCCTGAGGTCAGGAGTTTGAAACCAGCCTGACCAATATGGTGAAACTCCATCTCTACTTAAAATACAAAAATTAGCCGGTGTGGTGGCATGCACCTGTAGTCCCAGCTATTAGGGAGGCTGAGACAGGAGAATTGCTTGAACCCGGGAGGCAGATTTTGCAGTGAGCTGAGATCACGCCTCTGCACTCCAGCATGAGTGACAGAACAAGAATCCGTCTCAAAAAAAAAAATCAGACTTCTGTCCAGGCGCAATGGCTCATGCCTATAATCCTAGCACTTTGGGAGGATGAAGTTGGCAGATCACTTGAGGCCAGGAATTTGAGACTACCCTGGCCAACATGGCAAAACCCCGTCTCTACTAAAAATACAAAAATTAGTGGGGTGTTGTAGTGCATGCCTCTAACCCCAGCCACTCCAGAGGCTGAGGCAGGAGAATCGCTTGAACCTGGGAGGCAGATGTTGCAGTGAGCCAAGATGGCGCCACTGTACTCCAGCATGGGCAACAAAGGTTAGAAGCACCATTGAGACTCCATCTCAAAAACAAAATTAAAAAAATCAAACTTCTTAAACTGGCCCAGTGCACCCTGCTAAATGTTTCTGTTTGTATTCCCAACCTCAGCTCCCATGATTTGTTCCTTTGTTACCTTTCTCTTCTTTACTGTGCTCTGCTCTGTTCTACCCAGGAGCTGCACATGCTGGTCTCTCTGCCTGGACTTCTTTCCCTCCATCTTTTGTCCCTCTCTTTGCCCAGCTTATTTTATTTTATTTTTGAGACAAGATCTTCCTCTGTGGCTAGCCACCCAGGCTGGAATGCAGTGGTACAATCACGGCTCATTATAGCCTCGACCTCCTGTGCTCAAGTAACCCTCCCTCTCAGTCTCCCAAGTAACTGGGACTATAAGTGTGTTCTACCATGCCCAGCTAATTTTTTTTTTTTTTGAGAGACAGGATTTCACCCATCCTGGCTAACATGGTGAAACCCCCTCTCTACTAAAAATATAAAAAATTAGCTGGGCATCGTAGCATGCACCTGTAGTCCCAGCTACCCAGGAGGCTGAGGCAGGGGAATTGTGTGAACCCAAGAGGGGGAGGTTACAGTGAGCCGATATTGCACCACTGCACTCCAGCCTGGGCAGAATGAGAATCTGTGTAAAAAAAAAAGAGAGACAGGGCCTTGCTATATTGCCCGGGCTGGTCTCAAACTCCTGGGCTTAAGCAATCCTCCTACTTCAGCCTCCCAAAGTGCTGAGATTACAGGTGTGAGCCACCATGCCTGGCCTGCCCAGCTAACTTCTACTCATACTTCAGATCTCTATCCAAATGATGCTTCTTCAGGAAGCCTCCTCTGACTACCCTATCTCCCTGGCTCCTTACAGGGTAAGCCCCTCCTAAGACATGCATGTCCTCATGCTATATATTCTGTACTCCTTTCTACCACAATTGAAGTGAAACAGTCGTGAAATTGTGTAACTATCTCAAACAATAGGGCTATCAAGTCAAGGACTTTTTTTTGTCATATCCACCATCTCTGGATGGCTGTGTGCTTTTGGGTAAATTACTTAACCTTTCTATGACTCAGTTCCTCAGTTGTAATACTCAGATGATAACAGCTTTTATCCTCAAAGAGTTTTTTGTTTTTTTGTTTGTCTTTTGAGACAGAGACTCATTCTGTTTCCAGGCTGGAGTGCGGTGGCGTGATCTCAGCTCATGGCATCCTCTGCCTACCTGGTTCAAGCAATTCTCCTGACTCAGCCTCCCGAGTGGCTGGGACTGCAGGCGTGCACCACCATGCCCAGCTAATTTTTGTATGTTAGTAGAGACGGGACTTCAGCTGAGTGCGGTGGCTCACGCCTGTAATCCCAGCACTTTGGGAGGCCAAGGCGGGTGGATCACTTGAGGTCAGGAGTTCGAAACCAGCCTGTCCAACATGGCGAAACCCTGTCTTTAAAAATAAAAAAGAGAGAGACGGGGTTTCACCATGTTGGCCAGGATGGTCTCGATCTTTTGACCTCATGATCTGCCCACCTCAGCCTCCCAAAGTGCTGGGATTACAGGCATGAGCCACTGTGCCCAGCCCTCAAAGGGGATTTGTGCAGATTAAGTGACATCAGAATAGAGATCTGAATGGGAAACAGATTTGGCAACCACTGATGAATAAGTAGATGAGTGGTGGCCAGGTGTGGTGGCTCACGCCTGTAATCCAAGCACTTTGGAGGCCAAGGCAGGCGGATCACCTGAGGTCAGGAGTTCAAGACCAGCCTGACCAACATGGTGAAACCCCGTCTTTATTTTTTAAAAAAAAGAAAAAAATTTAAAAAAAAAAACAACATAATAAGTAGATGAGTGATAACTGAAGTTATCACTACAGACAACATTAATTAGGTAAGCAAATGTAAACTGAGGAAAAGCGAATCCCAAGGAGCATCAGGAGGTGGCTGGCAGGAAAGGAATTGGAGAAGGAAGCAGAAAGGAGATCCAGAAAGGTGAGGGCAGAACCAGAGGGAGGGATGTGAGAAAGCCAGGCTGGGAGAAAGGCACAAGAAGGAGGGAGAGGTCAGGGGTCCCAAACTCCTGAGAGGTCAAATAAGACAGGGTCTGAAAAATAGCTACAAAATTTTATTTTCCAATGACAAAACTTGAAGTGTGTTTTCTCAGTCAGCATTCAGAATCACTGCGGAGAGTGGAATGGGCTGGGCACGGTGGGCACATCCCTGTAATCTTAGCACTTTGGGAGACTAGGGCAGAAGGATTACTTGAGGCCGGGAGTACAGGACCAACCTGGCCAACATAGCAAGACCCCCATCTCTACTTAGAAAAAGAGAGAGAGACTCTGACTAGGTGCAGTGGCTCATGCCTGTAATCCCAGCACTTTGGGAGGCCGAGGCAGGTGGATCATGAGGTCAAGAGATCAAGACCATCCTGGCCAACATGGTAAAACCCTGTCTGTACTAAAAATATAAAACTTAGCTGGGCGTGGTGGCGCACGCCTATAGTCCCAGCTACTCGGGAGGCTGAGGCAGGAGAATCGCTTGAACCCAGAAATTGGAGGTTGTTTTGAACCAAGATTGCACTGCACTCAGCCTGGGCAACTGAGCGAGTAGCTTTGGCTTCCATCAGATTGAGTTTTGCGAGTAATTTGGAAAAGCTCTTAAATCAGTAAATGCTGGAGAACTTTTTGATGGGGAGGAATCATTGGCTAGTGGCAAGAACCCTGGGGCTGTTGGTTCCCATGGGGTGGCACATAAAGCTCCAGTCACCATTCATTGAGTCCTTCCCTGCCCTGTTATGACTTCTTGTCTTCACAATTATCTTTTGCATTAAGAACTATTGCTGTCCTCATTTCACAAATGAGTAAACTAAAGTTCAGAAAGGTTAAATGACTTCCCAAAGGTCACACATCTAGGAACTACCTCAGCTGGAATTCAAACCAGATCTGTCTGAATTCACACACCATGTTCACAGCCACCATCCTATGCCAAGACACATCACTGAACATTTCTGGAGGTCAGTTTCACTGTCACCAAATGGGGACAAACAAGCCCAGTGTATCCCTACCAGATTACTGTGAGATGAAGACAGTGACAACATTGAAAACCAAAGACTGTGTGCAAAGGGGAGGTACTATTATTTATTTTATTTTTTTATGAGACTGAATCTCACTCTGTTGCCAGGCTGGAGTGCAGTGGTGTGATCTTGGCTCACTGCAACCTCCACCTCCCAGGTGCAAGCAATTCTCCTGCCTCAGCCTCTTGAGTAGCTGGGACTACAGGCACATACTACCACGCCCAGCTAATTTTTGTATTTTTAGTAGAGACGGGTTTCACCATGTTGACCAAGATGGTCTCGATCTCTTTGCCTCATGATCTGCCCCCCTCCGCCTCCCAAAGTACTGGAATTACAGGTGTAAGCCACCACGCCCATCCGGGGAGGTACTGTTATTAATCAGAGAAGCACTGTTTTGCTGGGTACAGTTTAAAGTGTCTGCATAAGACCCTTCATTCGCTGAATAGTTCATGAGTAATGGAAAGAACGCACTACTGCATTTATTCTGTGCTCAGGCCTCCTGAATACATCCTCCCTTTGGCAGGTACACCTTGACTCTCCCTGGAGACAGCCCCTGTGCTCGAGTTGGCCACAGCTGTTCGTATTTACCCCCAGTTGGTAATGCCAAGAGAGGGAAGGTCTTCATTGTTGGGGGAGCAAATCCAAACAGAAGCTTCTCAGATGTGCACACCATGGATCTTGGTAAGACCAGCAGCTGCGGAGCACATGTCCTGTGGCCAGAGAGCAGGGCTGTGTGCTGCCAGCCATGAGCAAAACATTCCTAAGAATACCAGCAGGGTTTTCCTATAAGAAAAAAACGGCCGGGCGTGGTGGCTCATGCCTGTAATCCCTGCACTTTGGGAGGCTGAGGCAGGTGGATCACCTGAGATCAAGAGTTTGAGACTAGGCTGGACAACATGGTGAAAACCCATGTCTACTAAAAATGCAAAAAAGAGCCAGTTGTGGTGGTTAGCACCTGTAATTCCAGCTACTGGGGAGGCTGAGGCAGGAGAATTGCTTGAACCCAGGAGGCGGAGGATGCAGTGAGCCAAGATTGTGCCATTGCACTCTAGCCTGGGCAACAAGAGCAAAACTCAGTCTCATGTTTCTCAGCAGTCCTCTGGCACACATTCATCTGACCAATACCTTTAGGGGGAAAGAACCCTTATGGAGCCCTGGTTGTCCAGCCATTTATTCATCAAATATTTCTGTAGTATACATCAATGACTACCACCACTCATTCTATATACATATCCCGTAAATCACCAAGCGCTAGATATCTCTTATCTTTATCCATGTCTGTTTATTTCCACTACTGCTACTGTAGTCCAAGCCACTGTTTTCTCTCAGCTAGACTTACAATAGCCTCCTCATTGGTCTCCCTGCTTCCAAGTTTACCTACTTATACAGTGCATTTCTTCTTTTTTTGTTTTTGAGACAGAGTCTCGCTCTATCACCCAGGCTAGAGTGCAGTGGCATGATCTTGGCTCACTGCGACCTCTGCTTCCCAGTTCAAGTGATTCTCCTGCCTCAGTCTCCCAAGTAGCCAGGACTACAGGCGCGTGCCACCACGCCTTGCTAATTTTTTTTGTGTTTTTGGTAGAGACAGGGTTTCACCATATTGGCCAGGCTAGTCTTGAGCTTCTGACCTCATGATCTGCCCAGCTTGGCCTCCCTAAGTGCTGGGATTACAGGCATGAGCCACTGCGCCCAGCCTATACTGTGCATTTTCTGTGCCTAGCCAGAGAGTATTATCTAAAATACAAATCTGCCCATGTCACTCACTACTTCAGGCCTTTCTTAACTTCATTTTTTTTTTTTTTTTT